ACATACTTTACGCCTTGCCCCAACGTTTAGGACTTTGAAAGTATTTCGTAATAGTGAGATGCAAACTACACTGAGGAAAGTCAAAAACGTGCGTTTTTTATTTGCTTTTAACCTAACCTAATCAGCTTAGTTTCTTTTATTGTGGGAGTTAGAGGAAAGAGATCTTAAAATCAACCAGTCGGCAATTGTTTAGACTGCTGAACTAATATAAGTTCGTCACAAGAATTATTATATATGCCGTTGAAAATGTAGAGGACGTATTTATCAGAAGATAATCGACCGCATGATGTTGATCGAAGTTTCGTGACTACTTTGTTCATTGTTCTTTTTCCATTTTTTAGCCAGGAGTGCCAGTTTACCTTATATGGGCTTTTCACCCTACAAACGACACCATTCAAAACCATGGGTCTTCGAATAGAGGCTTCCAAGAAGTAGTGTTGGTAGCTGCCCCAATAACAGGTCGGTTGCTTTGAAAAACCTTTACCGAGGCAACGTACAGTACAAAGTTCGAAAACTGCGGTTGTAATGAAACAAAACAACAAAGAACTGCATTTGGCGCAAAATTTTGTTTTTTTAAGCATGGTACCCAGTTTCCTTCCGGCAAATGTTAACACGCGGGTGTGTTGCGTGGATGTTTTCTTGGTAGATGAAAATACACGTGTAAAGCCGCTTGGACTGTCCACGCAGACAACATCCGGGTCATAGGAAATTGCTATTTCCAGGCGCTACGCCCGAATTGAATTAACACTAGCTTGAGAGGTCTTCGGAAAAAGGCCTATATCAGGGATTAACTCATTTACCCTTCAACCTCTCTTTCAAAAAGCTTTATTTACATTACGCACTAAGTAAGGATCATTGTAAAATTTCCTTTTCTCAATTGTTTACCAACAGCGACTCCTTCAATTGCAATAAACACACAGGTCATAGCACCGACGACTGCTCAGCCAACTTTAACAGGTGCGTGTCCTAAACTTATATAAAAATAAGACTAAAGAATGTCTAGTCTCTCATAAAGCTTTCATGATAAGTGCGGTACACTAATCATTTCAAGGCATATATAAATAAGACTACAGGATGTCTAATATCTCATCAAGTTTTTATGATAAGTGAAGTACATCAATCAAATGAAGGAATATCTTATTTGCGGATGAAAAGTTAATCAGAACAATAAGTGGTCAATGGCGAACCCATGACCCGGATAAAGAGACTTCCTTGCAGATGCAACTGAAGGAATTTACGTGATTCTCGTTTTGTTGACTTGGTTTGA